AGTTACTAAATTACATATAATTATATATCTATAATGTATGTAGATATGTACAGGTCAAGGTGCTGGGGGAATTGCACACTAGAAAACCAACAAATCAAGGTTCCTTTAACACACACATACACACACACACGAAAACAGGTAAGGGATTTTTATGGGTCACATCTGCAAAGGCTGAATTTTCCCCTAAAAGCTGAATTTTTAGGCTTGTGTGTAATTTACTAGAATTGCACTGCAGGAATCAGATGTTCTGAAGCTGTGAATGCTTACTCATGTAGGTTCCTGCTTAACCAAAATAAGTGCCAGCATGTTATATTTGTCACCAAAATCTAGGCAGAGAAGACAAATTCAGAACACTGAGAGTTGCCAAAGCTTTAACTTTTAGCTTTAAGACCATAAAACTGTTCCACCTTCCATCTTTTCATCTCACTAAAACAGAGATCACAGGAAAACCACACTTTCCCAATGACACTGGAGTTAGTTAAAAGATAAAAGCACCGTCCACACTTTGAGCACAAATAAAAGAGCAACAAACACTACTAACTTAGGGAAAGAATAACTATGGATCAACAGCAAAACACCAAAGTTGAAGACAAATGGCTACACATTTAATATTTGTTTTTGTTTCAGTTTTTAATATCAATCTTTTAAATAACAGGAACAGAGATCCCCATATATCCCATAACATAAAATTCACTTTAAACTTTCTATTCCTTGAAAAGTCAATTCTGAAAGTAAGTATGAGTTATTAAAAAAAAAAAAAGGTGATACATACAGTCCTCACTTGATATAACACAACACGTACTTTGACTTTTTTGTTCGTTTTAGTTACATAAGCACACACCAAATTTTTCACTACTAAACCCCCAGCATCTAGCCCCAAGCCTGGCACGAGAAGGGTGCAGAAATGACTGAGGGGATGAACTTGTTACTGAAAGCTTCTGAAACCCTAAGGCAGACAACTAGGATTCTATAAGATTCACTAATGCAGATAACGAATTTAGCATAAGACACTGGCCCTTTCTGATCACTGCTCTTAAAGCTTTTATGAAGGAAGCTTACCTTTCTACCATACTTTTGAATCCCTGCAGGAGTCAGTTAAATACATTGAAAGTGGTGGCTATCCGGTTTTAAGCTACCACACTCCCTCTGAAAAAAGGGACTCTTTGAAAACTCTTGGTATTATAAAATTAAGTTCCAAAATTTCACACCAATAACAAACACAGTGCTTGCCAAGTTCTCCTTAGCAGCAGATCCACTTTTCTGATTTAACCCTGAATATTTCTTGTACTCTTAACAGGTCAGGTTTTCCTCTCCTCTTTTTACCCCTTGAAAATACACTTGATTCTGTGACACCACTCACAAGGCCTCCCCAACCCCAACTTCTTTTGTATATAAACACGCTGGTCACACATTCCCATCAGCTGTTTGGTAGCTCCGCCCTTCCTCCTTTTCCGGGTAGTAACAGAGCAGCCAATAAGCTGTGAGGAGCTGTGCCTACGGCCTTTTGCCTGCATAGGCTTTTCCAAAACAAGCAGCTCCAGCCTTCAGCAGGGGCCACTGGTTCACAGATAAAAGGATCACCAGGCTGTGCAACAGGGTGAGACGAGTAACCCCCACCAACAAGGAAACCCGTGTAATCTGAGCTTGTTTGTTCCTCCACCCAGGAGAACTTAAACCGATATTCCTTTAGGGCAAATCACGCTTTAAGGTCAACAGAGTCCCAGTTCTCAGACAATCTAAATAATCAGCCGGTTTGAGACAGAAACCTCAAAGCTTGCCAGGCTGAGAACAGCGCAGTATTACCCACCCACCTCACTTTGCAAACAAATGGCAACACTATTATTCCACCACCATTCCAAAGGATTTGGGCTTTTTGCAAGTTTTTTGATTGGGACACATTCCTATAAGGCCCAAGTCATATACATCAGTTTCTAGGCTCCTGGAGAGGTTTGCACAACCCTCAGCAAAGGATCAGAAGAGAAACAATGAATGAGTCAGAGTTTCAGAACATAATCGCCCAGCAGACTATTAAGTGCATTGGTGCAAAACACTCACTCCCTCCATAACTTGGAAGTCAGCTCTCCTCCTACCAACCCGTCACAAAAGAAATATCACCGACTCCAAACAACAACCAGAGACGGTGTCTCTAAAAGGACCTAACGAGGTGCTGGAAGGCAGTGGCCAATTAGTTACACATCCTCTTCTTTCCCTACCCCCACGCACTACTTTCCTACTATATAGATTCCCTGCCAGGCTGTAAATCCTGGTGGCATAATTACGCTCAGGAGACATCCAAAAATGGGCTGAAACAGGAGATTTCAACAAAACCAGCTATCAGCCTACACACCAAAGAAATCAAGGGGGCACTGAGGGGCAAAAAGCAAGTACATTCCTCCAGACCTTTCCTACTTCCTCCACACCATCTTTCATTTTCAACCCTCGACTGTTTCACACAATTGTATTCATTTTAGCAGTGTCCTGGTAAATATACCTTGCTTAAATTTCATGGTAAATATACCTTGCTCAAAAACTGTTGTCTCCATTTGGGCCTACTAATGTGAATTCAACAGAGAAAAGAGGCCACAAAATCTCTCACACACCCGCCCCAACACACATGCACAACAAAAGGAAATACAAAAAATTTAACTCAGACCAGAAAATAACAAACATGAAACAAAGATAACCTCTGGCTTTTAAATCCCGAGACTGTTGTCCTCCTATCTCAGACATGTACAATTTTAAAGCGCCTCTGCTTTCTTTTGTCAGAAAGGAGGAAGGTGGGGAAAGAACAGAAGGCCAATGCATCTTTGCCTTTCTTCATCTTCTACTAAAAATAAGCTATGAAATAAGCCACTTAGGGGAAGAAAAAAAAGAAAGACACCCTGCTGTTCTTTGTCTGTTTTCTTCCCCCTCTCCACCCCCCCACACCCCGACTCCTAAATACGGTAATCATTCTAGATGCCACAACTACTAATGAACAAAAGGCACTGTATGGAAAAGGCATCAGGTCAAGTAAGGCCTCACCCTCTTTATCCTCAGCCTTTTAAAAAAATATATTTAAGTATATAATTTGAGAATCTGACACTGATCAAAGACAGCTGGAATTCTCTCACCCCCATCCCAATTAAACATTAGGTAGAAATTTGCATTAGGTGTGACAGTAAGTCTCAATTCAAGATAAAAATAACTCAAGATTCTGCCACCATGTCATTTCCTAAACAAAAATAAAACCCGAAACTGCTTTGTGTAAAATGTACACACAGCCATAGTTACAAGTTTTCCTGCCACCTTATGAAAAGCCAACATTACTGGTATCATTCACACATTTACAAAACTCAATCACAGCCACAAACAGCTCATAAAGTCAATTTCACTTGTGCCTAAACATATATTTGGTACATAATATATACTTTATTACTTGCTCCTCTAATTCCCATTCCCACCTCCCCCAAATTCTAAACTTCTAACCCTAAACTGAGACGTTCATGTACTGTTCCTAATTTCTAATCAAGTTTTCCTGACTGAAGAGAAAAACATCTTATTCCTGAAAAGATTATGGGGTGGGGGGGTTGGGGGGGAAGAATCACTTGCCCAGGCAACTTCCCTTCCATCCCCCACTTCTAAACCAAATGAAAAAAACTACTTTTTAAAAACTTCAGCGAATTCTTTAAGTGAGTATTCAACAATAATCATCGATCTCTACAAACAGGTAAAACATCCAATCAAAAACAGTAACAATAAAAGGAAGAAAGAAGGAATTCACCTGAAGAATCTAGCCAAACAACTTGAGTTATATAAACAAAACCCTGCAACAGGGGGAAATGGTGGGGGGATGGGGGTGAAGGAGAAACAGAAGCAGGACACAGGACTTTTTAAACTGCGTTTCACACACCACTCTCTAGCCCCGAGTTCCCCCTCTCCCCAGGGATTTAGTCTTTCGGAACCCTGGGTTCCTCTCTCCCATCACTAAGTTACCTCTCAAAAAATGTCTCGATTTGTCACAGGAACCTTCGCGAATTTCTCTAGTTGGTCATGAAATAATCGGTCTGGACTCCAACCAAAACCACTGCCTGAAGGACTCTTATCAGTTAGAGCTTTCCCACTGCTACCTCCAAAGTACATAAAGTTGGGGTGGGGGGAGTAGGAAAATAAAAGGGTGTCACTTGGCAAGAACAGGGCAGTTTTTATGAGCACCTTATTCTCATACAGGGAGTTTGCTTAAGTGGCTAGTTCAGGGGCTATTTGGTCAAGGAGATCCTCTTTTTCTCCTTCCCCCTCAGCTGTCATAGCCACAATATGGAGGGTGGCTTGCTGGAGGGCCTGGGGGTCCTCACCACATACTATGGGTGGGATAGGCTTTGTCGGTAGGAAGAAAAGAGTGGGGTTCTTCTAAGGACCAGCAAGCTTAATAAGGGTAGATGATCTAAAATACTCAGAGCTCTTTAATACAAGAGGGGGGCACTGAACAGACTTCTCTCTTCCTAATATAGAAAGGAATTAGGGATAAAGGAGGTCACTTGAGTTACCCCAGTTCAAGAAGCACTGTGAGAGGAGGGAATGGAGGCATCTCAAGAAAAGGAGAAAGGCTTCGCTCTAGGGAATTTCTATCTCGAGTCCCCAAATTCACAGCGAGCAAACAGGAAAAAGGTGGGCTTGATGGTGAAGAGAGAGGGCTGGTACTGCAAAAAAAAAAAAAGGCCCATTTGGGAGTCCAAACGTCGTGGAGAAAAGTCACGGGGACTGGGGGTGCGGAAAGAGCGTGGAACAACGCACATTTCGAGGTGCTGCAGATAAAGGGGGAGCTGAGAAGGATCTCGGCTCCTGGGAGGTGCCAAGGAGCCTCCGTAGGCACTGGGAGGAGGGGGGGTGGGGTGGGAGGAAGCCTTGGACAGTGGGCTGGAGTGCCCCTGGGCCCCTGCTTAGGTTTTAGGGGGTGCCCCGGGCATCCCCATATCGTCCCCCACGTAGAACCCGAATTCCTCCCCCTCCACGAAGGATACAGCTTGACCACGTCCGTGTCCATCCGCCTCTTGCCCGGACTAGGGGATGACATGGTGTCGCCGCTGCCTCCCCGTCGCCTGCGCCGCCGCCGCCTCTCGCCCTTCCTCGGCCCGCCTGTCACGGGCCCCGGGCCCCGGCTCTGAGGAGCCCGCGGCCGCCCCGGCTCCTCGATGGAGGTGGCAAAACCCCCGCGGTCCTGTTTGGTCCCGTCAGCCGCCGCCGCCGCCGCCCCCCGCACGGGGGGGAACACCGGGCACTGTCCGGCCGAGTGGGGGTGGGGACCCCGCGGCGCACGGCTCGGGCTGCCCCTCTCCGGCTGTGGGTTTCGCCGCGGCCCGGACCTGGCGCTCCTCTGCGCCGCGCGTCGCTCCCTCCTGCCTGCTCTAGCTCTCTCGCCTGCTCGCCCGCTCACCCTCTCGCCGGCTCCCAAGCCGCCTCCACGACAAGCGGACGACTCCTGCTCAATCGGCCTCTCTACCCCAGCCTCGCTCTGGGCGCCGTGACGTCACCTCTGTGACGTCATCGGCGGGGGCGGGCCCAGTTGGCGAAAGGGGTGGGGTGCCGCGACAGTGGCGTGGGGTTTTAGCAGGGGATTCTGGGAGTTGTAGTTCCTCTTTCTCCTGCCCTCCCAGCTTTCTGCCCCCTCCCCCAACTCCCTCACACACTTAATCGCTCAACTGTCAGCGTCGTTGTCATCATCAAAAACGATAATGGTTAAATAATGGCAGTATCATCATATTCATGTGTTTTAGGGTAATGAACCTCCTTCCCACATACACTGTTAAAAAGTCTGTTTATTTGATTTAAGGAAGCCAAGGTGGCAATTAACCCAGACAGGCACCAAAATCTAGAAATTCCTGCACCAGCAGGTTCCCTGCCCTCTGCTCCCACCTTGATTGGAGAGAATAGCCAGGCTTCTTCAAGCTTGCAAATCAGGGTTTGCTATCCCTCATATGTATAGATAGGGTCATTTTTTCAAGGATTAGAGTATGGCGGCAATTTGTTAACATCTTTAATCTACACAGTATAAGGTGATTTCACAAAGTGAATGACTGAAAGAAGCAGAAGTACCGCAAATATGCTGTTGTTTAGGACAAAGTTTGTTCTGCCTTCCAAACTCCTAGAGCAAACCTATAACTTCATCATTTATTCAGTAAGCATTTATTGATCACCCATTGTGTGGTAATCATTCGGCTGGACATGGTGAACTAAGAAAGACTTTAAATTTACACAGCCCTCCCGATGTGGTCTAGATCTAGACTGTCAGCATCACCCGGGAACTTGTTAGAAACACAGGCTAGAGCTTCACCTCAGGCCTACTGAATTAGAATTTGCAGTTTAACAAGGTCCCCAGGTGATTCCTTTGTGCAGTAAAGTTTGAGAGACACTGCTCTACAAGGCACTCAAAAAGAAGTGATGTGGAATCCTGGAGTCAACCAGGCAAAGGGGGCAGGAGGAGTGTTCCAGGCAGCTCCTGTATTTATATCATATTTTCGCTGCCATCTATTTTCAAAATTTTTATCTATTCCTTTGTCCCCATGAATACACTTGTAGTCTGTCAAACCACGTGCTGTGAGTTGGGTCCCCTTATGTAACCTCCTATGCACACTCGCATGCACACACATATAAACATACACAAACACACACACACGTGAACCTGGAGCAGCAGCAATCAGCTAAAATTGAATGTTGTTTGCGCCTATCATTTCATCCCCCAAAAGACCTTTTATTGTTGTGTGTGTGTATGTTAATTATACATAACACAAAATTTGCCATTTTAACCATTTTAAAATGTAAAATTCAGTGGTATTAACTATATTCACAGTGTTCTACAACCATCATTACTACCTATTTCCAGAACTTTTTCATCACTCTAAACAGAAACTCTGTACCCATCAAACAATCATTTCTTACTTATTTTTCACTCTCCGCAGTTCCTGGTCACCTCTATTCTGTCTGACAAATACAGGCTATTTTAACTGCTTCTAAAAGGGCTGTATTGCTCTTTCCTATTGCACATAGCATTTCTGTCAGAAGGAACACGTGTTTCAATGACGAGATTTCTAACCCCCTTTATTTGACCACTTTGTTAAAGGGAGATAAGGCCAGAGCAGGGAATTGTTCATGACTGTGTCTCCTTTAGCCTCTCCAGGCTCCCGTTGCTGCTCCCTCCCCTCCCAGCCTGGTTCCCCGTTTCCCTTCACCTGAGTGATTCCCAAGCTTTGGTGTGCTTCAGAATCACCTGGAGAGCTTGTTAAGCTCACAAATATCCAGAGCCCATCCATGGGGATTCTGATTCCAAAGGTCTGGGATGGGGCTTGGACATCCAAGTCTTTAACAATCTCCCCAGATGATGCTGATGCAGGCCAAAGTTTGAGAACCACTGCTGGAAGATTCCAATAGGCATCAGCACTATCAAAACACCTGCCTGACCCCTCTAGGTGGGTCCTGTGCTTCCATAATGTCCTATGTAAATAAGGATGTTTCCTTCCCCACCTGAGAGCAAGGTAGCAAGCTTAGAGGACCCGAAGGTATTTTTTTCTAAGAGCTGGTCAAGGGTGGAACACTTGAGAAAGAAGGGCATAGGGTGGATCTAGACATTTTCCCCGGATGCTTTAATCTTCACAGATGTTATGCTGCTGTAATCTAAGTACTAAGCAAAAATCATCAGGGGAGTGATTAGAGAGGCTTGCTCTGGATCACTCTAGGGAAGGTGGAGCTGCTCTACCTAAGAATGCATTTAGCCTCTGAGCAATCCTTGAAAAGGAATCACCCTTTCTAGTAAGCATCTTAGCTCTGGGTTACTTAGGACAAACCTGCTTCTCCCCAGACCACAATTATTCTTCAGTTAATTGCTTATATCCTCCTTGAGCCTCAGTTTTCTCATCTGTAAAATGTGGCTTATAATGCCCTACCCACTTGAGTGGGTTGGTGGAGGCAATGGAAAAGATGAATGTGAAAGCCCCTCGTAAACTATAAATTGCTTTTCATGATTATAAGTGTGACAATATTACTGGTGGTATTATTAATATCAACCCCCCATTGCCCCACTCCTTATATGCTGTAAGTCATAAAAAAAGAAAAGCATTCACTTTTAGGGAGTATTTTTAATTTTATCAATATTTATTTATTTATTTGGTCAGGCATGGCATGCAGGAGCTTAGTTCCCCAACCAGTGATCAAAACTGTGGCCCCTGCAGTGGAAGCATGGAGTTCTAACCACTGGATCGCCAGGGAATTCCCTTTTCTGGTATTTTTTTTTAAGGATGTCATAGGGTCCATCTTTGCGGTAAAGGTATGTTCACATTTTTACCAAGTTTCTCTCTGGGCATTTTGCCATTTGCTCCTTCACCGCCCCCTTTCTGACTTCTCCAATCCCTCCTCTTTCTGGAGCTTCAGAGGGCTTCTGAACCCACCCTTGACCAGGTAGGTTCAAAAGGTGGCGCCAAAGGGGTGTCACGTGACAGCTCTAGTTTGTCGTCTTTTTGGCTTCTGGACCTGGAGCTCCTCTTGAGCAGAGTAAGTTTGTGCTCACCTTTTCCCCCAAGGTTTAAGCTATTCAGAATGTCAATAATTTACTCTAAAACAACACCAGGGCCTGGGAGTGTCTGTTTATATGTGTGCGCTCACGGCAGTACGCTGGAATGAGCCGTGTTCTTCCTTATCGGGGACAGCCAGTGGCACTAGGAGGGCACAGCTGTTCCGCCCTGACTGACTCGCCAGTGTTGCAATCTGGGAAATGTATTCAGGCCTGTTTATCTCTCCCCAGGGCAGGGCCAAGCTTGACCAAAGGAGCCTCTGATCTCAGGAGCAGCTTCTCAAAGGCCAGAAAACAAGTTTGCAGAGAATATACTGCTTTGAGCAAGACATTCAGACAGAGTAAAGATGAACCCATCATTCGGTGGGGTGAGTAGAAGAATCTAGCCCAGAAGCTTCTCTATCTCCAAAGGTTCCCTACTAACACAATGGCCCTAAAACTAAAGTGAATTTATCACTGTCCTCGCCAGATGTGAAAGTCTCCTAGATAAGGCCTTCTGATTCTGTTTGACCATTTCTGTTGAGAAATAGTCTCATTTTTAGTCCTGAACTCTTGGTATCAGAGATCACAGATCCAGAGCCCTCAAGAGGGCAATAATATCAGCAGTTTTCTTGCTGCCAGGAAATAAAAGCTTAAAACTCATTTCAAGTCTCCTCCATGTAACCCTGTTACAACTTGTCCCCACAGAAGCAGTCAGTAGGGCTCGAATAGCCAGCAGTGGCCAGGATGGAAAGATTGCATCTCCTACACTGCTGTCATTCCCTTGGGATTCTCTGCATACTCCCTCTGACAGCAGGCCCCCTAGGGAAAAACCAACATTCCCCCCACCTGCACCAAACAAGCATGATCCAATGAGAATGTGGAACTTGGAGACAGATACCTTGATGTAACTTGGGCAAGAAACCTAATCTTTATGTCCCAGTTTACTCATCTGTAAAATGGGATGATAGCACCTGCATTACCCTTGCCTGGATCAAACAACAGAAGAGATGTTGTAATCTCTAAAGATCTAGCCATGGATAAGCTATTACCATGTCCCTCTTACACACACACACACACACACACACACACACTCCGTAATGTCAAGGCTCAAGGAGGGTGCGAGGTTGGAAATGATTCACACCTACATTATTCATTGAGGCCAGTTCCCTGTTTGGAACCCTTGTTTTGCCAGTCGTGGCTTCCTGTGTTTCCTTTGCTGCTTCCTCATCTCTCTGATCTGGAAATGCTAGAGGCCCCTGGCCTGCTCCCCAGGCCTCTGGGGAGCAGAGGCCTCTGTTCTCCTTTGTCTATGTTTAATCCCTATGTGACCTCAGCCAGTCTCAGAGCTGTAACTACCCTCTGTGCTCTGACTCCCTAATGTACATTTCTGATTGGGACCTCGCTCCTGAACTCCAGACATGTATATATGGCTGCCTGTTCAACATCTTTTCGTGTCCAAAAATAAACTGCTGATACCTTCCCCACCACCTCCTCACATAGTTTTCCCCTTCTCAGTAAATGGCCATTATTAA